TAAAGTTAATTCTTGGAAGTTCTCTTCTGGCATCTGCTAGGTGAAGGATGGAGGCCTGAATACTAACTACTAGTGAGGAGTTAAAACTTGAACATCATGGTCTAAGTCCTTGATCAATCAGAGTCCCAAAAGAAGACAGAAGAAAATAATTTGGGGTGCTTTATACACAAAGGGACTGTTTTCATAGGTCTATGGGTGCAGGCATCTGGTGCTGCTGCTGCTTCTTTTTTCTGAGACAGGGTCTTGTTCTGTGGCCAAGGCTGGAGTGCAGCAGCACAATCATGGCTCACTGCAGCTCAAATGATTCTCTTGCCTCAGCCTCCCGAATAGGTAGGACCACAGGTGTGCATCGCTGTGCACAGCTAATTTTTTGTGTATATATATATATATATATATATATATATTTTTTTTTTTTTTTTTTTTTTTTTTTTTGTGGATACAGGGTTTCACCGTGTTGTCCAGGTTGGCCTCAAACTGCTGGGATCAGCTGATCTGCCCATCTTGGCCTCCCAAAGTGCTGGGACTACAGGCATGAGCCACCACATCCTGCCTATCTAGTGCTTCTTAATGAGCTATAAGGACAAAGGGATGAGGAGACTGAGGTGAGGGGTCATACAGAGGCATGTAGAGTCATGGAGACAACCTTACAGGAAGGGAACAAGGGGATTAAGCCACCTGATTTCCCTTTCCTTCATCTCTCCCTCCCTTTCTTTGATTCTATATGAACCCAACTAGAAGCCAGAAGTCATGAGGGTCCATCGATTTGGTCCACACAGGTCAACCCTCCAGGTAGAAAGTAGGACGAAGGGGAAGAGATGATCTGACCTAAACAGGCAAATGTATTTTGCCACAAATTTCCATGAGCTTTCTACCAACGCTTAGGTATTTAGTTAGCCAGTAGCTGGTTGTCTAGTTCTATCCAGTTCTTCCTGATAATATTTCACAGTTCATAGAGGCTGAATATGTATTAGAAAATAACAAAAGTGTTTATCTGCTGACTCCTAGGATGCCCTACAAATTGGATAGGTAGTGTCAACTCCTACTTTTCTAGTTTCAGAGTTATTTAGTGTGTTTTTCTTTAAATATCTAGCCTGTCAACTCCTAAAAATGTACAATCCAATACACTTCTGCAATCATGTGCACTTGGAACAAGTCCCTAATTAAATGATGACATTCCTTGAATAAAGACATTTTGTCATACTGCTATCACCTCCACCGCTCGTCTTGGTTTTTCAGTATTATAGAAGTTGCCAAACATGAAGACTATAGGGAATAAGATAATGTATATTCATATGTCTACCATCCTGATTTAGAAAATGTTAATATTCTGACATGTTTGCTTTAGAATTTTTTTTTTTTTTTGAGACAGGGTGTCACTCTGTCACTCAGGCTGGAGTGCAGTGATCACAGCTCACTGCAGTCTCAACCTCCAAGGCTTGAAAGATCCTCCCAACTCAGCCTTTGAGTAGGAGGGACCACAGATGTGCACCACCATGACTGGCTAATTAAAAAAAATTTTTTTTTTGTAGAGATGGGGTTTCCCAATGTTGCCCAGGCTGGTCTTGAACCTCTGGGTTCAGGCAATCCTCCCACCTTGGCCTCCCCAAGTGCTGGGATTACAGGTGTGAGCTACCATACCTGGCCTGCTTTAGAATTTTTAAATAAATAAAATATCACCAATACAGTGAGGGTTTCTTTTTATCTCCCATTACCTCCTATTCATTAATTCATTCATCCATTAACTTTCATGTCAGAAAAATGTTTGAGCAACTACTCACTAGATTATAAAGTCAGGGGATAAATACAAATCAGCTTAAGTCTTGTTCCCTTTCCTCAAGGCGCTCCCAATCTGTTTTGTGGGGATAAGAAAACATCTGAGAAGGCAGGTGGGCATGAGAAGAGGGGGTGTGCAACCCAGATGTTGGGGTAAAAACACAAGCATAAAGATGCCCATCAAATACAATTGTATTGAACTGATGATCTTGGTACATTAGAGGACAGCAACCCAATGCAGGTGCCAAAAGAGGAATGAGAAAGAGAAGGAACAGAACAAGATAAAGAAAGAAGAAGAAATGACATCATAAGCCTTTAGGCTCCTAACCACTTCCCCTTACAATACACACAATGGGTGATAGGATGATGTTCACAGATATGCTATATTCCCTGGGTATTTGACTTAGGGGCTATGGCATAGATAAGGTATTTGTAGTTTCTGGTACATAGCTGTAACTCCAGCCTTTTCTCTCCCATGTTGGAATGACATTAACACCTAGATAACCTAGTCATCTCTAATATACATGTGTGTGTGTGTGTGTGTGTGTGTGTGTGTGTGTGTGTATTATATGTATATATTTATTTATTTAGAGACAGAGTCTCACTCTGAGGCTCTGGCTGGAGTGCGATGGCATGATCTTAGCTCAATACAAACTCCACCTCCCGGGTTCAGGTGATTCTTCTGTCTCAGCATACCAAGTAGCTGGGACTACAGGTGTGCACCACAACCATGCCCAGTTAATTTTTGTATTTTTAGTAGTGACAGGGTTTTGCCATGTTGGCCAGGCCGGTCTCATACTCCTGGCCTCAAGTGATCTGTTTGCCTTGGACTCCCAAAGTGCTGAGGTTACAGGCATGCACCCCACTCATCTCTAATATATATACAAAGGAAACCATAGTATTTTCAAACTTTGGTTCTCTATTCTAATTAGAAACAGCTTGTGCAGCGACAACCCACCATACCCATGTGACAACTATGACAAGTCTTGTCTGTGTCTTATGTAGGAGCCACCAACAATCTTCCTTTTCACACATGTGATTTTGTGTGCATTAACTTTATAGAACATTTAGCAGGTATGCACCAGAATGGCTGATGGTCCATTTTTGGTAGGTGTGAACAGATAGAGAAAAAAAAAACCTAAAGATATTACGGTTTTGGTATTGAAAATTTGGCAATATAAGAGTGAAATGGATAAAACTGTAATTGCCTAACAAAGTGACCACTTTGCCTCTTCTTGTTTCTGACAGAATAGTGTAATAGGTGTCTTTTTAGTAAATTAAAAATCTATTACCTAATAGGTATTTGATACTGGCTAATTTTGTTAGTTTCTAGTGCCCCTTCCATACTAAATGTGTAACCAGTACTAAATGTTCAAAAACTGATGAATTGTTAGATGACTTTCTTTCAGATCTAAAATTGTACAATTCTATATTTTTTAAAAAACAGTAATTGAGGGCTGGGCATGGAGGCTCATGCCTGTAATCCCAGCACTTTGGGAGGCCAAGGCAAGTGGATCGCATGGGGTCAGGAGTTCGAGGCCATCCTGGCCAACATGGTGAAACTCCATCTCTACTAAAAATACAAAAATTAGCTGGGCATGGTGGCAGGCACCTGTAATCTCAGCTACTTGGGGGGCTGCTGAGGCAGAAGAATTGCTTGAACTCGGAGGCAGAGGTTGCAGTGAGACAAGACCATGCTGGAACCCCAGGAGGCAGAGGTTGCAGTGAGCCAAGACCATGCTGGAACCCCAGGAGGCAGAGGTTGCAGTGAGCTGAGATCGCGCCATTGCACTCCAGCCCAGCCGACAACAGCAAGACTCCATCTCAAAAAAAAAAAAAAAAAAAATTTTAGCTGGGCCTGGTGGCAGGCGCCTGTAATCCTAGCTACCTGGCAGGTTAAGGCAGGAGAATCACTTAAACCCGGGAGGTGGAGGTGTCAGCGAGCCAAGATCGTGCCATTGCACTCCAGCCTGGGCGACAAGAGAGAAACTCTGTCTCTAAATAAATAAATAAATAAATAAAAAGGTAATTCAGGATAAGTAAACTACAAAAAGCATGATGCATTCAAGTTCCTCTTTTTTATAATTGCTAATAGTTTCCCTAAAATCAGATAACTACAAGGCTTGATAATAACATTTAAACAAATAGTAGGAACTCTTCACAAGGGGAAATACTCCTTTCAATTTTGTATTTTCTTCATATTCTGCCATTCTTAAACTTGCTGAGTCTGATTTGCTCTTTCAGTAAGTAAGATTGCAAGCGTGTATGGTGCCTTCTTATAAATGAGAAGGTCCCCATTTGGGCTGAGGCAGGCCTGCAGGCACATGCCTCTCTATGTGGAGGGAAAGAGTACCCTTCCTCTGAGCAGAGACAGCCCCACATCAGCCCATACCAGCCCCTCTTGCTCCCTTAGCCAGGCATGTTTGTGCAGTGTACACACTGCATTACCTGGTCCTTATTTCCAGTGCCAAAAAACTTGGCCTTTCTGTGCACTAAACACCTCCCCATGCTAGGCACTTGGCCAGGCACTGGAGATAAAAAAAGAGGAGTAAGAAAATGTCTACCGGCCGGGCGCGGTGGCTCAAGCCTGTAATCCCAGCACTTTGGGAGGCCGAGGCGGGTGGATCACAAGGTCAAGAGATCAAGACCATCCTGATCAGCATGGTGAAACCCCGTCTCTACTAAAAATACAAAAAATTAGCTGGGCATGGTGGTGCGTGCCTGTAATCCCAGCTACTCAGGAGGCTGAGGCAGGAGAATTGCCTGAACCCAGGAGGCGGAGGTTGCGGTGAGCTGAGATCGTGCCATTGCACTCCAGCCTGGGTAACAAGAGTGAAACTCCTTCTCAAAAAAAAAAAAAAAAAAAAAAAAGAAAATGTCTACCTTTGGCAGTCTGGGAAGAGGGCCATATAAACAGATCACCACAATAAGAGCTGGCAAAGTGATCAAACAGAAACACATAAAGTGTCATAAGATCAAAACTGAGGGAACAACTCTTTTTTTCTTGGATGGGGTTATAATCAAGGAAAATTCAGGAAGAAAGAGGCATTTAAATAGGCATTCATAGGATGAGTAGAAGTTCATGAAATGGGAAAAGGGCATTAGAACTTTTGTGGCGACAAGAACAAACTTAAAACTCTCTTCCTAGTCCCCAAATCTCAGGAAAGCCTTAGGTTGTGGCTTACTTTGATTTAGATCTTGAATCACACCATTTTTTGGGGGGGAGGGGGTTTGTCTTTCTACATGTCTTTTTGCCTTTCACATGATCCAGACAAGCTTAGAAGTGGTAAAAACAGTGTAATAAACAGTGTTCATTCGCCAGGACTGTCCTCTGTGAAGCTCTCTCAGAAGTCTGTAGAGGCCGTAGGTGGCTGGTTAAAGGTTGGGGATTTGGGATTATTACCAAATGGTCTCCTTGAAGACATGGCACACAAGGACATTCCAGGAAGAGGGAACAGCATAATCCCACAATATTTTGTTTGCCAGATGGAAATATCTTTAGTGACAAACACTTAACTTAGCACCAGGTATGACCTTCAGTTATGCAACAGAATTGTGGATCAGCTAGGACATAGTTTTGCAAAACCTAGACTACTTATTTCCCTAAAAGAAAGTTTTGTCCAGAAAAAGTATCCCAAGGCAAGAGACTATATTTCCAATTCTTGTGAGCCTTTTCCCTTCTTGGCACATGCTACTGGTTGCTAGAAGAATGAGGAGAGAGTATGTGCATAGAACAGCTTCTCACAAGTCACTGTCATTCTCAGAAAGAAACTCAGTATGTGTCCATTTGGCAGGAAGTCAGAGACATGTTTTCTAGACCATTAAGAGATAGCAGTCATATGCCAGCAGCAAACTGATTGCATGGGGCAGAGGTGGGGAATGACGTTTATTTATTTCCCATAGTAGGCCCTCTGATCTTGCTTTGATGTTTTGAAATAATGGTGTCCTCTGAACCCGTTTAAGGAGTTCAAGGCAGACTAGAAGCTTTACTGGGCAATATTCTACATAGTAACAACATCGCCAACAACAACAAACTAATTGACTATGTTTTTACTGATTAGCTCCAACTGCCTATTTCAGGCCACACACTGATTAGTCTGGTTCTCCTTTGATGAGGTTGTGCCCAGAGGCAGCACCAGCCTTCGAGAACCTGCCCCAGGGCCCTCATTACAGCAATCTGATAAAGCAGAAAGCACTCAGGAGTACCTCTCCAATGTTTATGATCCTCTAGTGCCCAAGACATTCCTTCTGAAGCACGCCACAGACTAGGTAATGAAAAACTCAGCCCACATTAGTACCCAGGAAGGGGTCATTAAAGAGAACATGAGACAAACTCAAGAACACTTTGTAAACTCAAAAGGAACACAGCAGGTCAAAGAATAAAGATCATGGGCAGCAGCAGAGAGTCGAGGAAGTGTCAACCTGTATTTAGGGCTCCTGCTAAACAGAGTTATGTGTCAACAAAGAGCATCCAGGAACGTATCATGCATCAGAATATCCTCATTCACCCTTAAAGGCTTCCCATTCCTCAGCTCAGGAAAAGCTTCCCCATCCCCCAGTTGCTTACATCAAAAATTTTAAAACCAGCATTTATTTCTCCCTTTTATTTCTTCCTCCCCCATTAAATCAACCAGCCAACCAACCAATCAATCGATCAGCAAACCCAACCTCCAAATTATAGACTGATGTATCCACCTCTTTATATCTCCACTGCCTCCATCCCAGCCCAAGCCTCAAGAATTTCTTGCCTGGACAACATGAATAGCCTACCTACTGATTTCTCCACACTCACCTTGGCTGCCTAATACCCCTAATTTCTGTATGCGAAAGGTCTTTGTAATATTAACAAACGATAGACATTAACAAGGAAAAAGTTCTGTAGATTTGACTGTCAGGCCTCCAACTCCAAGCCTGGCCATTATAGTCTTTGTGACCCGCACGTACACCTCTGCATGGTCCTCAGGAGCCAGAAAGTCTGAAGTAACCACAAGTAACTAGGTGGCCACAGAAAGAGGTGAAACAACTTGTTTCTGCCTCAACTAATTGCTCTCCCCCTGCAACCTGCAAGCATAGTTCCTGCTCAGCCTTTTGGAATTTCCCCTCTGGACATTGGATTTTTCAGGACTCCTACCCTGTAACTATGTAATTTAGTGCACCCTCCCCTCTGCTTGCAACTGATAACCTCCACCTTTATGATCATGCCTGTTTATAACAGATGGCCCCTACCCTTGTGATCATGCATTCCGTGACACCCTACCCCTCCCCAAGATAGATTACCGACTCCTACCCTGTGGCCATGCGTTCTGAGATGACTTTCCCCTCCCTAAAATAGATTACCATCTTTAACTGACCACTTGCCCCAACCTAGAAAACCAACTCCTATCCCACTGCCCTCCACTGGCTCTCTTCCGACTCACCTCGGTGAATAAATAGCTGTGTTGCTCACACAAAGCCTGCCTGGTGGTCTCTTTATGCGAGTGACATGCCTAACTTTTGGTGCCAAAACCCAGGATGGGGGAACTCCTACAGGAGACCAAACCCCCTGTCCCTACTCCTTGTGCTCCCTGCATGAAGAGACCTATCTAAGACCTAGGTTCATCAGCCTAGCCCATGCATCCACTTACCATCCTCAGATCAGGTAAGCGGTTGCCTCAACTCTTCTCTTTAGCGCTTTTCGCTGCCTGCCAGCTTCCTTCTCCTTTGGGTTTCATTTTCCTCTCCCTTTCAGCAGAGACAAGGAAAACTGGACTTTCTGTGAGGTTCATGACTGGAAAAAAATCCCACATGGGTCACGGGACTGGGAAGACAGTCTTCCCTTGGTGACTGATCACTGCAGAGATGTCTGCTCTGGTCACTCACTCGTGCGAGACCTAGACAATTTTTGTCAACAAATGGGCAAATGGTCTGAAGTCCTTTACGTCCAGGCATTTCTTTTACATTCCAATCCCTCCCTAATCCCTGCTGTCAATGCAACCCGTCCCAAATTTTCCTTCTCTCTCTTCTACCCGCTTCCTCCTATCTCCTTGTCCATCGACACCTCCAACCTTTCTCCTTCCTGCCTGTAGGAACCAGACCTTCATCCAGCCCTCCCACCCTCCCAGCCTCCCTCCTTCTCCTCCTCTGCCCACAACCCACTTCCTTATGCCCCTCCATTACCGCCCCCCCTCCCCCACCGCATACCTGGTCAGGCTTGCAGTTTAGTCCCATGGCCAACTCCTCCACCCCTACTCAACAACTCCCCTTTCGGGAGCCTAAGGCATGGTGAGGGCGCATGTTAGTTTCTCCTTATCCAACCTTTCCTAAATCTGCCAGTGGTTAGGCTCCTTTTCATCAAATCCTCCAATACTTAACCCAGTCCTATAATCTTACCTGGAGTATCTTAAATGTCATCCTTACTTCTACTCTCACCCGTGAAAAACATTTATCACCCAATTAGCCCTTAACATTAAAAAAGCTACATAAATAGAAATCTGGCCCTCAAACCCCACAACAGGAATTAATTTATCTTGCCTTCAAGGTGTTTAACAATAGGGAGGAAGCAGTCCAGATGCAATGCATTTAAGAACTACAGATGTTTGCCTCTGCCGTAAGACAAACCTCAGTCACACCACCAGCTCACAAAGACTTCGAAGTGCTCAGACTGCAGTGTCCAGCTGCCCCTCCCAGACCTTGCTTCAAGTGTCGGAAACCTGGCCACTGGGCCAAGGAATGTCCGCAGCCTAGGATTCCTACTAAGCCCTGCCCCGTCTGTGCAGGCCCCCCACTGGAAGTCGGACTGTCCGACTCACTCATGTTCTTTGGCTTGGCTGCTAAAGACTGATGCTGCCCAAACATCTCAGAGGCCCCCTGGACCATAATGGACATTGAGCTTTGGTAACTTACGGTGTAACGTGAGTCCATCCCCTTCTTAATCAGTACGGGGGCCCAAAACTCCATGCTAACCTGTCTCCTTGGCCTCCATAACTGTTGTGGGAATTGACGGCAAGGCCCCCAGGCCTCTCAAAACTCCCCAAATCTAGTGTCAGGCCAGCACTCCTTTCCATATTATTTCCTAATCACCCCCACTTAATCCTGTTTCCCTGTTAAGCCAAGATAGCATAACAAAATTATCTGCCTCCTTAACTGTTCCTGGGCTACAGCCACTCCTCATCGCTGCCCTCCTCCCTGAACCCATACCTCCCTCAATAGCTTCCCTTATGTCCACCTACCTTATCCCTAGGGTGTGGGACACCATCTCCCCATCCATCCTGTAGTGCCAAACCCCTATACTCTCCCTAACTTCTCTGAAACTCACTCGAATTCCTGAGGAACATAAATACCCTGCTCCTGCCTATCCTGCCACTTCACCCTCTTCCTCCATTCTGTGCGCCAGGACATTTCCTGGTTCCACCCCTGGCTGCCACCCTTAACTCTCTTCTAAAGTAAATAAATAACCTTTTCCAAGGTACCCAGTGTAACTTCTCTGCATATTCCTCCTGCTCCCTTGGCTGCCCACATAATTGCACCTATTATTTACCTGTATAAAACCCATAACTTAACCCATTCTTTGCTAAACCAATCCAACCCAACCCTTTTCCTTATACACTGCTGAAATTCAGGGTTGTGCAACTGGAGTTCTTACACAAGAGTCAGGTCTGCATCCTGTTGCCTTCCTCTCTAAACAACTTGACCTCATTGTCCTAGGTTGGCCCTCATGCCTACGTGTGGCAGCTGCCTCTCCTCTACTCCTTCTTAAGACTTTCAAAATCACAGGCTATGCCTCACTCACGCCATAGTCTTCAGGCTTTAGCATCCTCTATGCATCTTCCACATCTGTTATCTGCTCCACGTCTTATCCAACTCTATTCACTCTTTACTGAAACTCCCACTGTGACTATTGCACAAGGCCCTGATTTTAATCCAGCCTCTCATTTAATACCAAACATAAACACAAGCCCTGAGCCCCATTACTGTATCTCCCTAATCCATATAGCATCCTCCCCCTTTCCACATAGTTCTGTCTCTCCCATTCCAAACCCAGACCACACCTGGTTTAATGATGGCGGTTCTTCAAAGCCCAGTCAGTTGACACTGGCTAACGCTGGTTATGCAGTTGTATCCCATTCATCTATCATTGAGGCTGCCATACTCCCTCCCTCTACCACTTCTCAGCAAGCTGAACTAATTGCTTTAACCCGTGCTCTTACTCTTGCTAAGAAACTATATGTAAATATCTATACTGACTCTAAATACACCTTCCACATCCTACATCACCATGCTGCCATATGGGCAGAAAGGGGCTTTCTCACTACACAGGGATCTTCCCATTATCAATGCTTCTTTAATAAAACCTCTCCTTAAAGCCCTTCTCTCAGCCAAGGCCGAAGTCGTCCACTGTAAAAACACCAAAAAAACTTTAGATCCCATTGCCCAAGGAAATGCTTTTGCCAATGAAATAGCTAAGAAGGCCGCAAACACACCAATATCCCCTCCTAGTGGACGATATTTTTCTTTTTCATCAATTACTCCTACTTACTCTCCTGAATCCTTAACCTAACGGTCGCTTCCCACTCAAGGCAATTGGTTTTTGGATCAAGGAAAATTCCTTCTTCCTGCCTCACAAGCCCATTCTATCCTCTCTTCTTTCCATAACCATTTTCATGTGGGATATAAGCCTTTGGCCTGTCTCTTAGAACCTCTCATCTCCTTCCCTTCATGAAAGTCCATCCTTAAAACAATTACATCTCAGTGCTCCATCTGTCACTCTACCAACCCCCAGGGATTTTTAAGACCTCCTCCCTTTCCCACTCACCAAGCACGGGGATTCACCCCCATGAAAGATTGGCAAATTGACTTTACTCATATGCCTCGTGTCCGAAAATTCAAATATCTTCTTGTATGGGTGGTACTTTTACAGGGTGGATTGAAGCCTTTCCTACTGGAACAGAAAAGGCCACTGCTGTTATTTCTTGTCTGTTAAATAATATCATTCCCCCATTTAGCCTGCCTACTTCCATACAATCTGGCAATGGCCCTGCTTTCATTAACCAAATCACACCGAAGCAGTCTTTCAGGCCCTTAGCATTCGATGGAATCTCCATGCCCCTTACTGCCCTCAGTCATCAGGAAAAGTAAAAAAGGCTAATGGCCTCCTAAAAACACATCTTACCAAACTCACCTTTCAATTAGAGAAGGACTGGGTATCCTTCTACCTATTGCTCTTCTCCAAATTTGTGCCACTCCCCAGGAACTCACTGATACAGCCCCTTTAACTCTTATACGGCCACACCTTTTTGCCTGGGCCTAACCTTCTCCCAGACACTAGCCCTCTTGGAGACTATCTTCCAATTCTCCAACAAACTAGGCAGGAAATCTGTCAAGCTGCTAACTTCCTCTTACCCACTCCAGATACCCAGTCTTATAAGAACATCTTACCTGGATGATCAATGCTGGTCAAGGACCTAACCCATCCAGCTCTACAGCCTCAGTGGAAGGGTCTCTACCTGGTTGTCTACAGTACCCCAACTGCTGTTCATCTACAAAACCCTTCCTACTGGGTTCACTGGTCCAGGATTAAACTGTGCCCATGAGACGACCAGCCTAGCGCATCCACCTCCTCTTGGAAGTCGCAAGTACTCTCTCCTACTTCTCTAAAGCTAACTAGAATTCCTGAAAAGTAGACACAAACCATAGAGGATTTTAGTTTATATCCTAACATTGACAGGAATCCTTCTCTTAACTTTGCTATTTGCAGCAGGACTCTACACAGTCACCCCAAAAATTTGGTGTACACCTCACAAGCTCTCTATTTCTGTTGCTTTCCATATGATAATACTTCTGATCACCCTTCTTGTCTACATTTAAATGCCCTATGCCTGCTTGCCTTGCCAGTTCACTGTTTTCCTCCAGACCATTTTAGCTAATATCTCATAGTTCTACCCACAAACTTCTACCCTCGATTCCTTCTTTGAGTGGATAAATGACCTTGTGTGGCAAGGGACACTCCAATTCTTTCACCAGAACAAAGTTCTCCTCTTTTCTACTCACTCTTATTCCCGGTCCCATTCTGTCGTTCCCTACTCCTTACTAATTACCTTCCAACCCTTACTCCCCTAATACCTGTCTTCCTTCTTTTATTCGGAGCTTGCATTTTCCAATTAGTCTTTCAGTTCCTACAAAACTGTATTCAGGCCATCACTAATCACTATATACGGCAAATGCTACTTTTAACAACCCCACAATATCACCCCTGTCCCAGGACCTCTCAGCTTCTTAAGGCAAAATGCCTTCCCAACCCTCCCCGTTCATTTGCCTGCCTTATACCCAGTCCTACTTCACAGCAGAAACACCAACACATTGCTCATGAATTCCAGGCAATGCCTGGCTAATGTCAAGATGCACCATGACACCTCTCCAGAACCCGCACATATTCCTTTCAATCCAAGTCTTCTGGGACCACCCCCATCCAACCTTGGCCCGAGGCTCCATCACCACCCACCTTAAAGCTATTACGCTTCCAAGGACTTAACCAAATACTAAACTACAAGAATCACAGGCTTTTCTTTCAGGTGTCCACGCAGCTCCCTGTCATGCTCGAAGAAGCCACAAGAAACATCACCCCTACTCTCTTCTCTAACTTTTTTCTTTATACATATACAAAAAGATGGGAATGTCAGGCCTCCAAGCCCAAGCCTTGATGACCCACATGTACACCTCCCCAGGAGCAGGAAAGTCTGAGGTAACTACAAGTAACTAGGTGGCTACAGAAAGAAGTGAAACAACTTGTTCCTGCCTCAACTAATTGCTGTCCCCTGCAACCTGCAACCACTGTTCCTGCTCAGCCTTGCAGAATTTCTCCCCTGGACACTGGGTTTCTCAGGACCCCCACCCCTGTAACTATGTAATTTACCACACCCTCCCCCCTGCTTGCAACCGATAACCCCCACCCTTATGAACATGCCTGTTTATAATAAATGACCCCTCTACCCTTGTGATCATGCATCCCATGATGCCCTTCCCCTCCCCAAGATAGATTACCGACCCCTACCCTTGTGACCATGCATCCCGTGATGCCCTTCCCCTCCCTAAAATAGATTACCACCCTTAACAGACCATTTGCCCCAACCTAGAAAACCAACTTCTATCCCACCACCCTCTACTGACTCTATTTTCAGACTCAGCTCACACATCCGGGTGAATAAACAGCCATATTTCTCACACAAAGCCTGCCTGGTGGTCTCTTTATACAAGTGACGCACCTAACATTGACAACATAAAAAGCTGAAAATTTTGAAAGTCAAAAAACATCACCCCACATATTTCTTACCAGTAGGAACAAGGGGCTGGGGACGAGAGAAATTTTACTTTGTATTATACATGCTTCTGTATTATTTAATTTATTCAGTGACTATGCATCTTTTAAAATAAAAAATATATACAATAAAGCATGTTATAAATAATTAAAAGTAAATGCACTGATTATTTGACACAAATATGACAAGAGACTTAACAGTCTTAATATACAGAAGCTCATACAGATCAAAAGGAAAAGCATTAAGACCATTAAAATAAAAATGGGTAAGAAAACAATTTATACTTTGAAATGAATAAATTTTTAAATTTAAAACATGGTTAAGGATGTTAACAAAATGTTGAAAACTGAGTACAAACATGTAGTAAACAAATAAAAAATGTCTCAATAGTCAAATAAGTACAAACTAAAAGTGAGATATCTAGTGACAAGTTTAAACTAGTGAAAGAAGAGAGAGAAGAAAAGTGAAATATCACTTTTTGCCAATTAGAATAGCAAGACTATTTTTAAAATTTTATAAATCTAATATTGTATCCATAGTTTGTGGGAGTATATAATTTACTTGGTAAGAAATTTGGCAATGCCAGATATCCGAAAGATTCACAGTCTTGATTAGTGATTCTATTTCTAGGAATATATTATAAGGTAATAATCACAGACATGAACAAAAATTTAACCATAATCGTAACAGTAAGAAATAAATATTTGGTCTCTACCCTTGGTTCCTAACCCAGAGCTCTTAAAAGTCTTATAATTTCTTGACTGGTAGGGGTGAGGGAAGCATCTCTTGTTATAAATTTGTTATATTTGTTCTTTGACCTTCATCTATATCCTTTACAATAAACCAGTAAATATATGTGTTTCCCTGAGATGTGAGAGCCATCATAGCAAACTATCAAACCTGAGGAGGAAGGTCCTGAAAATCTTTGATTTGTAGCCAAGTCAAACAAAAGCATGGGCAACCTGAAGACTCACTAATTGCTACTGGCATCTAACTGTGTAGTCTTAAAAATGCTTGGTGTAGAAAAGCTATACATTTAGTGTCAGAAGTGTTGCCAAAGTATAGAAAAATAGATTATTTTTCCTTTTTAATAGTGGTTCATCTGAAAATTATTTAATTGTGGAAATTATAAGGATTGAATAAGGGCATAGTTAATGGGTTACATCTATCAATAAGACGAATATAATGCTGTAATTAAAAATGTGTATGAAGGTTCAATATAATAAAAATACCAGTCTTCCATACATTAGGTATAAATTTAACATAGTTCCAATAAAAATACCTTCAGAATTCTTTTAATTGAAAAGCTGATCCTAAAACTCGAATGGGAAAATAAACAATGGCCAGGAAGACCAGGAGAGAGAAAAAGAGTAATGCGGAAGGACCAGCCCTACCAGATAGCTATGAAAACATTTTGTAAAGATGCAATAGTTAAAAGAGCTTACTACTAGAACATTAATAGACAAATGAAACATTATAGACACAAAATATATACATAAGTTTATTCTGTTTAAAAGATGCATCTTAAAGGAGGAAAAGATGGACTACTGAGTAAATGATAGTAAGACAACTACAAGATATAAAGAAAAAGGTTGGATCCATACCTTCCTAATATTTACCGCTTCAAAAAAAAAATAAAGAAATGTAAAAAAATGTACAAGTACTACAAGAGAAAGCAGAAGGACTAGAAGTAAGCAAGGGATAATTATTATTGTTTTTTTTTTTTTTTGAGGCGGAGTCTCGCTATGTCGCCCAGGCTGGAGTGCAGTGATGCGATCTCGGCTCACTGCAACCTCCGTCTCCCAGGTTCAAGCGATTCTCCTGCCTCAGCCTCCCAAGTAGTAGCTAGGACTACAGGGGTGAGCCACCACACCCAGCTAATTTTTTTGTATTGTTAGTAGAGATGGGGTTTCACCGTGTTAGCAAGGATTGACTTCGTGATACGTCCGCCTCGGCCTCCCAAGGTGTTGCAATTACAGGCGTGAGCTGCCACGCCCGGCCCTGGGATAATTATTCTTTTAACACATTTAAAATGGGGAAGGTCTTTCTAAAGATTGCGCAAAATCCAGAAACCATAAAAGTAAATATTGTAAATTTAACTACATAAAAGTATACTGCAAAATTTCGGCATGGCAAAGATTCCAAAAGCAAAGACAAAAGCAAACTGGGGAAAATAATTGTGATCTATATTACAGACGAAGGACTAATCTCCCTCATGTGTCATGGCAGCTGGGTTCCCGGAGTAAGAGATGAGAGCGAGAACCCAAGATGAAATATGGAAGGTGCAAACCTTTTATAACCTAATCTCAGGAGTGACATTGAGTTTTTCTTTCAAATTTTTCTGATTTGTTTCCCCGTGGTATGATTTATCTTGTTTCTTGCCTTTGTTTTTCTTATAAATTTAAAAATCAGATTTAGAAGCTTAATTAACTTTATGTTAAGCCTTTTTGCCAAGAATATTTCATATGTAGTATATTGAATTTTATGTTTCCTTTTATTAGTGAAGCAACTTTCCCAGAAGCACCACAGTGGACTTGTTCTCAAATCTAATTGGCCAGATCAGGGAAATATGTGCCGTCCTGGACCAATCACTGGAGATGAAAGTGTAACATCCGCCACTGGGGTTCTGCTACTACACAGGATGAAGAGCGGTGATCTCAGGGTGTTAAAAAACAAAGTTGGGTGAATTGGTTAGAGTTTGTAGGTCCAGAGGACAAGGTGCTCTCCCTTGCCTTTAAACAGAAACATCAACTTGGGAGTCACAAAGGGAAGTGGCCAGAGTTGAGGCAGAAGGGTAAATACAGGCCACATCATGGAGGGACCATATACAATACACAGTAAATGCTGCCAAGTAGGAAAAAGGTCATGATCAGATGGACATTTTAGAAAGAACCAGTCAGGCCACAATATGAAAAGTTTAGGCAAATCTGGAGGCAAGAGGTGTCACTGGGATTCAAGTGTAGGCTGCAACTGGCTGGGATCAGATAGTTGGTAGCAGCTAGACCCAACTCTAATATTTGAGGGGCCTGGGTAAGAGTACCAGAGGAGGCCAACATACCATGTGAACAGGTATTCAAAAGTTATAAATCAAGTTAGTAAACTGTCAAAAACTCTGTCTTCCTGCCTTGATAAATACATCTTCCTAAGGACCTGAAAGGCGAGGTTTACATTGAGAATTCTGACTCCTTGGAGTTCCATGCTGGACCTTGGAGGCCCAGAAGAGTAGGCTCTGGCATATGGCCTTCCTCGCTTCCCTTCCGTGCCCAAATAAGATTGTGGAATAACACAGATATTTTGAATGTTTGGATCTTACCCGACTACTTACTATTTATGTGAACCGAGGCACTTCAGCTTCTACAATTTTCAAGTGACAGCCATTAGGGGTAAAGTAGGAAACAAAATAATGGCTCTGCCCTTATGGAACCTAGAGGATAGTGGGAGAAAAAAATCAGTAAGCAGGTGAGCTACAGGTAGTGGTTGATAATAGCCTACTGTGTGGCTTCTCTCAGAGATGTTTGGGCTTTTCTCCGAGAGGTGTTAGGTGGCCAGTGGTTCCCAAACAGGGCGACATTGCCAGAGGTCTTTGGGCGTGTGTGGGCGTTTGGTTGTCACCAAGCCTGGGCATTCACGTATGGCAAACTTCCAGCAACGTGTGGGAACAGTGCTGTTGCGCCCAAAGTGCCAAGGGCGCCCCTGTTGAGAAATAGTGCGAGGTGTTCTGTCCTCATGGGGGATTTGGAGTGTAGGGGTGGCGGGGCGTAATTGTGGCAGCTACTTCTTTCACCAGTGGCACCCGTCACTTCTTGTGGGTGCTCTGAAGTCACCTGTAGATGCACGTCGGGGAAGGGGAAGAGCCCAGGAGGGTTCGGACGTACTTGGGTGGGTCATTCCTGGAACCCAGGCCGAAGAGCCGCGGCGGCGGTCCAGATGCAGAGGACGACAGCGACACCTGGCTCTTCTCCGAGCGGCGTCCGGAGGCGGCCTTCCAGCGACTCAAAGGCGGGGAGCGGGACCTGCAGGGGCGTGGCGGGGCGTGGCTGCGCGCCGACGGCGTGGGGTTGAAGGGCAAGCAGTGCCGGCGTCATGGCGGCCTCCGCGCAAGGCTTGGCCCGGGGGCAGCTGCGGCTCCGCACTGCCGGCCTGTGCTGCCGCCGGCCGTCTCGGGGTCTGTACGCTCGCGTGCGGCGGCTGCCCGGGCCCGAGGTGCCTGGGCGGAGCGTGGCCGCTGTCAGCGGACCGGGCGCCTGGGGCACTGACAGCTACTGCCTGGAGCTGCTGCGGTGAGCGAGCACGACCTTCCCTGGAGGGAGGTCCGGAAACGAGGTCCGGGGGTGGGAGCGGCTGCGCCTGACGTTTGAGCCAGCGGACCAGCGCCTTCCTCGTGCCCCCCTGGGTGTGCGTTCTAGTGGGCGCCGGGTGCGGGTGTGTGGAGGCAGCGAGCCCACAGGAACATTCACGTGGGTCACAAAATTATGGCAAAATTCCTTCGAATGCCCACGCTTATCGTCTTATCTGAACCCTAATTTTAACAGAATTCAGCGTTTTTGCATGAATAATCTTTTTTATTAACAGAACATTTATTAATTTTAATGACCACGGTAGCCAACTTTCTGTATGCCCGGCGTTATGCAAAGTAGATTATGAGTAATTAGTCTTCAAGTTGCCACAGACAAATGTAGACCTATCATTTAGGGTTGTAGTAGAGGAGCATTAGAACAATGTCTGGCATAAAGGCACAGTGAGTGGAAGTCATTTTTATCTCATTTAACAGGCAAGGAAACGAGGTTTTATAGTGATTAGAGAATTTGCCAGAGGTTCACAACAATAGCCCTGTAAAGTCAAGGCCCTGAAGTGGGAAGTCCTGGCACTTGGGAGTTACTCCTTAATCATTTGTAGAGGTGGGTTGGATCAGTCAGATCACCTGGCTCTTGCGGCAGGGGCCCTTAGGAATCCAGGCCTTACTGCTGAAAACAGTGGCTTAGCCCCTCTCCCCTTCTGCTGCGTGTCATTTGAAACAGTGGGGTAAGGTCTCAAAGTACTTGGTCTCAATGACTTACCAAAAGTACTCGAATAACTAAACTAACTTGAAGTTGATTATGCAAGTAAAACCTTTTTAAAAATATTTAAATATATTATTAGTTATTTTTGACTTCAGTCCTATGCTGGCTTTTCTCAAGTATATATACTGTATTTACAAATGGTCAGGTACTTAGCTTGTCCATGGGGGCTCTTGACTCTAGTGACTTGTTTCAAAGGCTGAATTTTGCAGGCAGACCTGATTTGAGAGTATTAATCCCAGCTCTAGCACTTGGGAAGGTTACTTTAAGATTCCATTTTGGCTGGGCACCATGGCTCACACCTGTAACCTTAGCAATTTGCTAAGCTTTCCAGACCAGCCTCAGCAACATAGTGGGACCCCTTCTCTACAAAAAATAAAATTAGCCGGGCACAGTAGTATGCACCTGTAGTCTCAGCTACTCGGGAGGCTGAGAGGGGAGGATCACTTGAACAGGGAGGTTGAGGCTGCAGTGAGCCAAGATCTTGAGCACTGCAGCTTGGGTGACAGAATGAGACTCTGTCTCCAAAAATAAATAAATAAATAAATAAATAAATAAATTTAGTTTTTTCCTCATTTGTAAATGTTTGATAGCCTGCTTGTGAGGATTAAATGTGATGATATAGTAAAAAATGCTTAGCAGAGTTCAGATACTTAACAAATAATAAGTTTAAAAAATGAAAACAAACTTGAATTGAATTTCTGGCTTCTAATTGCCCATCAATAAACTCTGCAAGATTTGGCCTCTGAAATTGTTTGAGCAGGGCTGTTTTGGATGTGCATTTTATGCAAGGCCTCCAAATATCAGGAAAAATACCAGGTCATAACTTCAGGCTCGCCATCCTGGGCTTTCCTAGTAATTTAGGTTCCCGGGAAAATCTCAAGCCTAATTTACATAGGTGTCTCTGTCTTTGGCCTTGAGGAGGCTAAACAGAGAGCCTCAGGCTGTAGTGAGAAGGTGAGGAGGTATTACTGGTGGTGTTGGAGTGCATGAATGTTCTTTACTCTCCTGCAGCTTTACCAGGGAATCACTTCCTTTGTGCCTCAATGGCACAGTCTAGGGTACTAACACACAAGCATCCTAATACCCCATGTGCTTGTTTCTCATATGTCTGTCTGTCACGACTAAACCGAAGTCAGTTCCTGTCTTCAGTGTCTGGCACAGTGCCTGGCACTTAGTAGGCACTGCATAAATGTTAGAATGAATGAGAGGTTATTGGCCCTATTTCCATATAAAGTTGAAATTATACATCCTTAATATGGCATTTCTCATTATGTAGGACAGCTCTCAAGTAACTGGATCTTGGTTAGATGCTTAGGGCATCCTTGTATATACATAGTTCAATAATTCATATTTATAACAATGATCCTAAGTGATGAAGAAATTCCTAATTAATCAATATATCTTGTTTAATGTGGTGAAGGGGGTAATATTGTTTAGAAAAATTTCCATCCAAAATTTAAAAATAAATTTGTTAATAGGGCAAATCCTTAGCTGTGTAGAAGACTTTATTTTCCAAATGTTGTTACAGTTCTATCTCTTCATTTCATTTTTCATTTCCCTGTAAGAAGTTTGAAGTACTTCACATATTGCTTATTTTTAGGAGATAACCTTGATAGGTTATCAAGCCTCATTTGCAAACTGGGAAATAGGCGTGATTGGTGTTATTTTTATTAATAACCAGTTGGATGATGGAAGTTAAGATTGTA